AGGGACTGTGGCCCTGGCTCAGGATCACAACAGTATAGCGAAGCTCAAAAATGCCATGACGACAGATTTAAAGGAATTAGAAAAGTCAATTACCAGGCTGGAGGAATCGCTGGCCTCCCTGGCAGAGGTGGCCCTCCAAAACCGAAGAGGTCTAGACCTATTATTTATAAAAGAAGGGGGACTCTGTGCTGCCCTCAGAGAGGAATGCTGCTTCTATGTAAACCACTCAGGAGTAATCAGGGACTCTATGGGAAAACTCAGAGAAAGATTAGCTGACAGAGAGAGGCTGAGGATCTCCAAGGATGGTTCGAAAGATGGTTCAATAGGACTCCATGGTTGACTACCCTAATTTCCACCCTGGTAGGACCCCTGTGCATACTCCTCTTACTTCAGACCTTCGGCCCTTGTCTCCTCACTAGGCTCCTACAGTTTATACATGAAAGGTTATCCGCCACTCAAGCCCTCATCCTAACTCAGCAGTATCACGCTGTACAAAGTGCTGAGGTTCCCTCAGGTTTCTTCTAACCCAAATCTGTAGTTTTTTTTTTTTTTTTTTTTTTTTTTTTTTTTTTTTTTTTTGGCTCTGACTCAAGGGCACATCTGAATATAGCTGCTGACTACAGCCTGCTCCTAAGGACTTCGAGGCCCAGACATGCTATGAATATAAACGAGTCCTGCTGATGTGGACACCCTTGTCTCTTCAACAGCCTGCCAACCAGTTGCTTCCCCATTGTCAAAATCCCCTTTTTCTTTTGCTTTTGACTACCATTTCAGGTTTTTTTTCTCTCTCCCTCTCAGGTCCCAAACGACACCCCAGACTCAGCAGGAAGTAGCATGAGAAAAGATTTACCGCCTGCTTTCCCTGGTTGAAATGCTAAGTAAAAAACAAAAAACAAAAAACAAAAAACAAAAAAAACAAAACAAAAAACCCCCAAAAAAACTTCCTTAGATAGGGGACAAGATAAATTGCCCACTAGTAAAGTAACTCAAAAATGGGTTACCCAAAAAAAAGGGGGGGGAATTAAATAAAATAAGAAGGCTTAAAAAAAAAAAAAAAAAAAAAAACCCCCCACACTAAAAGCAGGGGGGCCTGACTTAAAAATCTAACCAAGGCCACAATGACTCGAGTCCCTGGATTTTCCTAGCCAGCCACAATAACTCCCTTACAAGGCTGAAAGATAGCCTAACTAAATACCAAGAACTTCCAAAGGGCCAACCTCCCATGGGGTTGTGAAGATAAGAGCAGACTATCCCACCAATTAATGTAACAACAATTGACAAAAGAGAGCCCCTGAGAAACCAAAAAGATACCTGCAATTACAGGTTCATTCCATGGGATGTTGACCCAACTGGTGAGGCAGGAGACCATCTGGCCCCAAAAGATAAGAGACCTTCAAAGGACTTGTGACTCCAGTTATGTACCTGAACCCCCTCCCCCCCCCAAACCTTGTGATTTCTTCCTATAAAAGAGTCCTGCCTTTGAGGAATGTGCTTCCTTGGTCTGTCAGACTGGGAGGCCCATTTGCACAAATGTCCCACAATAAACTTACCTCTTGTTTTTACATCAACTAGACTGGACATTGAGTTTTGGGGGAAACTGTCCGATGTGTAGAGGCTTCTCAATCTGAGGGTCTTTCAATATTAAAATTTTATCTTGATATTAATGATCATATAGAGCACTAATTCTAGAAGAAGGCTTTATCTACATTTCTGTACATGATTTCAGGTCTGAGTCTATCAGATAAGTAGGAATTAGTGTTTGTACTCTGTATGTACATAACAAAATATGGTCCTTTAACCACTTTCAGAGCTGGTGCATATGACATTTAAAATGTTTAAGTTTTCTGCAATGAACTATGACCATACCTAACAATGATCTTTACAATCTCTAAAAGAATGATGGAACAATGATGATTCTGTCAGAACTATGACAATGTCACAAAGCTCACAAACACCACGTCCAGATAGGCTTTTGACTACAAACTGTTCAGAACAGTTTTGAGTTGGCTAGCTGAGATGGTCCAGCCTCATAGACTACTCTATCCAGGACTTGAGATAAGTTCTGTACTTTCCCACTATGCAGAGACTGGGCAAAAAATGATATAGCTACATCTCCCAGAACTTGACAATTAACCCACATTTTTCTTTCCAGGATCTCCTAAAGATACCATGGCCCCAGACAGCATGAAATTAATTTAGGAACAGGATGCCCATATTCCCAAGAGGTTGGGGGGTGATATTTGGTTATTGAATGGGGTATGAATGTTTGTCACATTTAGGGTTTGTGGTTACAAATTTTTATTGGTAATTGTCAGGAAAAGCTGAATTTGTTTCATGGTTCTTATTTTGAAAGCTTAAATGGGGTATAGATGTAATAGGACATAAGAGTGGATTATTGAATCTATTATGAAAAGAAAAAAGGAAGGATATAGAAATAGGATAAAAGCTAGATTATTGAATCTACTTTTAAACAGAAAAAGCAACTACTAGTTTTTATATATCTTACATTAATATAGATTTTTGTATATTGATACAAATTTAAGATAATTTTATTAGAATATACTCTACATACATTTCTAATCATGTTCAGTGTATTATACCTATATAGCTCATTTAACTATGTAATGAAAATTTGTCATCCTTGAACGTTATTATTAGCAACTCTTTAGGATAGTAAAGCAATACAGATTTGTAAATAGTCACCTATTATTCTCAACTTATAAACATATTAGGTATGTTTTCAAGGTCAAAGAGAGATTTAGTTTAGAGAGACAGGTCATCTTCAAATACTTCAGAGATATACAGAATATGGCATTTAAGATGTTTGAATAACATAGTTTTTTTTTTTGTTTTTGTTTTTTTTTTTAATGACAATAAGACATGTCTGCTCCTGTCAGCACCAATATACTTTGGAGAAAGTGATGGGCATTGAAAAAACCCCACATGGAGTTTACTTTCTTGTGGCAAAAGTAAACCACTTGGCAAAAACGTGACTTTGCCTTGACTGCTGACAGCATGCTGATCAAATTGTACAAGCAAGACCACAAAAGAGTGACTGCCAGACCTTGCGAAGACAAGGCAGGAAGTCCTTCAAAAGTCCTGCTTTATAGAAAATTCTGTTGAATATTCTAGGCCTGTAGGGAGAAGATGGATGCCCCAACGTTACAGCAGAACCTTGAGTGACTGTCTAGGCAGTCAGTTGTTTCTGTCATTTTACACATTCTTTGGAAATTGCTTGCTGGCACTTTGTGGGGGACCAAATAATTCTGTTATGAAATATTTTGGGGCCCAGCCTCCAGCTTCAGTAAACTGGAGCACCGGAAAGCTCCGGCTCACTATTGTATTGTTAATTGCCAGTAGGGCTACTATTGTTTACCATGGCCTCAGTGTAATATGCCTCCTAATTTGTATCTCTATGGCTCAAGCTTTGAGTAGGCCCATGCCTGGGCTAAGGACTCTGCCTAAGTGACCAAGAGCTGTTCAGGTAATGCTTGAGTCATAGAATCACTTGATGTTAGCTATATACATCATAATAGATGCTGCCTGATGCTGCCCCCGCCCTTGGAGGACTATTTAAATGGACTTCTCAATAAACCATGGCTTCTCGGCATCAGCTGGGAGCCCTCCTGAGATGATATGGTGTTTCCTGTTTCATTATTAGCATCGTTGGGTAATTAAACTTCCCTAGACCACACACCTCCACTCAGAATCGGACCTGGGACTGTACGGCTGGCTCCATTCACAGTCCTGAAGACAGCGGTCTGGAACAGCACTTCCTGCTTAGTGAGTTAATATTATTTCCTTTTTGTGTCGCTGGGATAGTTGAAGACTAGTTAGTTATAATTATAGTTTTTCTTGTTTGCTAGACTCAGAAAAGAAACTAAAGAGTTGTAAAGTGCTTATATTGAAAGATATCAAATGATAGTTTTTAATGGTAATGCAAGTTAGGATAGAAAACTAGTAACAAGACTTGACACTAAGATAGGATTGATATGGAACATTTTCTCTAAATTTATCAAATGCAAATAGACTAGACATTACTAATATATTTATTGTATGTATATATTGTATATAGTTACTATACTTATGCATTTTTCTCATGTTAGTTATTTCTGTCTTTCTTATTTTGGATGGGAAATGTAACATATTTTGTTTGTGATGTAACAGATAAAGCTTGCCTGAAGATCAGAATGTGGAGATAAGCTACTAGTTAGCCATAGAGGCCAGACAGTGGTGGCACACATCTTTAAACCCAACACTTGGGAAGCAGAGGCAGACTGATTTTTTTGAGTCCAAAAGCACTAGATTAATCCAGTCTTGAAACAAAAACAGAGTCAGGTGGTGATGGCTCACAACTTTAATCACAATACTTGGGAGTCACAGGCCTTCAGTCCCCACAGCAGGAGGTAGAGACAGGAAGGGATATGGATCGGCAGAGTGAGGAATATAAGGCAGGAAGAGACAGGAGGCCATGCATTCAGTTTGAGTTTCATAGAGACAGCATTCAGTCTGAGGATTAATGGAGACAGGTTCTTGCCTCATTTCAGCATTTACCCTTATATATAGCTCCAGATTTTTCTTATTAAGACCAATTAGAATGTGTGCTACTCTCCTCGTTTACTTCTTTACAGCTGCAGTCCTGAAGTGACTGATGGCAAATAAGTAACATTTCCTTGAAATTCAGTAGCCTATTTGGCTAGTATGCACTTAGGTAAACATATCATTCCCATGACAAATTCACTTTCATGTTTATTTAAAGCAGTTGTTTGTCTTTAGACAAAAGAAAAGTTTGAATATTTTCTCACACATGTCACTCATGTCTGGGCCCTCATGGTGAGCTGCTTTATTTCTTGTGTTTCAGAAGCTTTCCAAGGAAGTAGAAAGAGGCTCCTTCTTGTAATGGTACTTAGCAGAGGATGCAAAGTTAAAAGGCACTGAATAAACCTAAGAATGCTGAAAGACATTCTAGCTATATAATTACTCCTTGAATCAGTACTTACATTGTGTTTTGTGAGGTTTGAAATATTTGCTGCTAATGCTTGGAGCCAATCCATGCAGTCTTCAGCAGAGAGGCACTGAATAATTCCACTGCAGACTCCATCCACAGCAACAACTTGGAAAGCATTCTGCCTATAGGTACATTAAACAGAACAGACCAAACATCGTGTTAAAGATCTGTCCAGTACCTGCAGAGGAGCTCTTCATACAATATGACAAACAGCTTACATATACAAATTTGATTACCTCCTTTACAGATATATCAGCTTTAAAATGAAGCAACAAGAGGTTCAAGATATTATGTAATTCCAAATAATTAGAAAACAGTTTTTAAATTTAGGAAAATTTGGACAACCTTTGAAATACAAAACAAAGCATGTTGTATCGAACAGCCTAAACTCAGGGTCATTCTTTTCCCTTTGTTCAAACATACCCAGTCTATGATCCCATCTCTGATCTTTTTCCATGTTTTATTGCATTGTATGACTTACAGTGTAATGATGGCAAACACAACAAATATTAAATGTTACATGGTAAAACTCATGTTAATTTCTTTAATGTTCTTTGGATGTAGCCTTAATGGTCATGAATACATGAAACTGCAGCATGAATGGGAGCCGCCAAAGACCCTGGCCCTGAGAATTAGACTGTTGTGTAATGTGAGACACTTTAGAAAATGTACAAGTCATATTTAAATCCACCAGTGATGGAGTGATAGAAAAGTTTCAAAAGTGAACTTTCAAAATAGGGCACAAATGTCATATATCCACATTGTCTCGAAACACATGTTTCCTGATTCTATCAGTTTCATAACTGGAGACTTGAGGATATTAAATATTAAGCATTTCCTGAAACAAAGGAAAATTTGGGGAACACACACCTGGCTCAGCATCATGTATAGGCCTCTGTCCATTTATTTTCTCTCTAAACCAGATCCAATCTCTAAATGGAATACCTGATACTTGCTTTGCTATCCAAAACACCCTGCACTCAAAATTTTAAGTTTTAGAGAAACTAGTTGCCATATATGACACTTTATAATGACTACAGAAAAGTGCTCAAACATGCATCACTAATTTTCTGTTAAAATAGATTTGTTAATAATAAAGAGATTTTAAACTTCTTGCGATAAAAATATGCTCCATGAAAAAGTATACTCAAAATTCACCAGTACTCGGAGTTTAATTCATATATTTTTTTGGGGGGAGCCTATCCTTTAATGGCTAATCCATCTTTCTAGCTCTGACCTGTAATTATAATACCCATCAGTGATTAAAGCATTTACAATATCCAGACATAAGGCTAGAGAGATGGCTCAGCATTTAAAACACAGACTCCTCTTTCAGACAACCTGGACTGTATTCACAGCATGCTGATGAAGACTCACAACCATCTGTATCCAGACCCTGGGAGACAGACATCCTCTTCTGACTTCCAAGATCATCAAGTATGCTGTGCAGACACACATGCAGACTAAACACTCATACATGTAAATATTTTTTAAGTGTTCAGACAGAAGCACAACCATCTATGGACAATGTACTAAAAATGTCATCACCTAGGTACAGACACCACAGAGGAGAATCATGCTCATGTCTCCTGATTTCTTCACCCTAAGGTCTTTCCACCACACTCTGAGGGTCTGTCATCTGTGTCTTCTCATCCTTACTGTACCTCTAGATGAAACCCAGCATTGCTCATTGTTGTATGTAAATTTTTCACTCTGTGATTGTCATAAACATTTCTACATAAGCTAATAGCACAACATCTGTATATTTTTAGCTGATAAATTCTGAAATTTATGTATTCTTATATCTTACACAGTCCCTGATAGCATAAATCTGAGAGACTAGTCTTTTATACTCTAGTCCTGAATATTAGTGTAAAAGAGTTCTTATAATCTGTGTATTTCATGTAAAAATTTATATTTCTAATTATTGAAGTTAATTATTATTTTGATTCATAATTGATTCTATGTCATATGTCTGCTTACTTTGTCAGGATTGAATAAGATAAATGAGATAAAGAATGATTCTGTGCATTAGAAACAAGCATTTCAGAGGATAAATTATGCAAAATTATTATGACTTGACTACAATCTCTATGAGCAGAAACCTGGTATAGAATAAGCAGAGACAATTGAGAAAGGCTCTGTGGGTCTTTCTGGCAAGGAAAAACTGACATAGATTCATTGTAAGGATATTTCTAAGTATCATGGGTAGATTATCAGTGTTTGTAGGCCTACTATTAGGGAAATTAATGTGACTAGGAAGAACTTCTAAGGCACACAGTTGAACTAGGACAATTGAATGGATGATGTTCAACAAATCCATTATTAAAAATGGGTAGTAAGTGAGAACAGAACTAAAATAATTCCATGCTTTTCATTCTAAATAACAGAACAGCTATGGTGGGGAAGGCAAGGGAAAACATAAATCTCAACAGAAGTAAGAAATCCAAAAACAAGCATGAGGAGATCAAAAAGCATGGTGTATTGTGAGAAATACTGGTTGCTGGGTATGTTACAATAAGGCCTCATCTGTAAGATCTTGCAAATAATTCCACACATGTTTACTTTATCTCTAGGTCAGGAATAGCCATGATAACACTTCAGTATTTGACTAACATATTATATCTTCACTTACAATCTTTGTGATAACTATGATGTGTAAATAGATGATGGTGATAGATAGATGATAGAAAGATAGGTATAGAGAGGGGGAATGAAGATGTGACAAGGGCATTACTTTAGTATTCAAGACAAACAGTTGTGAGGTGATGGCTAACATTATGTTGAAGGCTAACTTTATACTTAAAAATTTTAAATTAATGTGCGGAAGAGAACTATAATGAAAAAATGGACTTCCAAATGTTAATGGCTATTAAGGGTTGATTTTTGTAATTGCCTAGTCTTGTACAATTTCTATAAAACTATTGTTTATTCAAGGTCATAAGATTAACTGCTATATTTTGCTTCTGTAAACCTAAATTTCTTTTCCAGAGAAGGACTTTCTGCTTGCAGAAGAATAGAAAGTAACTTTGTATTTTTGCCTTTATAAACCCCTGACTGGGGTAGCTAGATACTACAGCCAGGAATCCTAAGTCCCAGATGTAGAACTGTAACTGGTAAGCAATTAAGTGTTTCTATTTTGTTAAACGTTATTCATTGTCAGACTGATGATTCTCTGAATGACTTAAGACACATAATGAGAGAAGCTTTTGCATGCAGAAGAGATCTTTGACTGAAACATAATAAGAATTTACTAGATTGGAAAATTAGTTAATTTGGAGGAATACAAAGGAAAGAAAAAAACAAAAAAGATAACTCTAGTTCTTGAGGAACTGAAGCTCTCAAATCCCAGGTAGCAGGTCCATTTGCTTCTCATCCTGATTAAACATTGGGGCTCTTATTTTTTCAGTTTTTCTATTAAAAGAAAAAGAGTGTCTTGACCCTCATAAGAATATATATCAACCACTTACGTTCAACACTTGAAATTCACCAACCCTATATGCAGACATCCCATGTCCTCCTCCTGAATCTAGACTTCAGTTTATTTCTGGCATCTTTATCCACACATTTTTCATACTATACAGGATTTAGCCTGGGTCTCACAACATATGCAACAGCTGAGACTAGTCTTCCCTTCTTTAACTCTATTCTTGGTCCCCTATTCTGTTGTGAAATCTTGTTTGTACAAATAAAGCTTGCCTGGATAAGATGGTAGAGCTAGACACTAGCTAAACATAGAGGTCTACAGGTCTGTACAGACAGACAGAAAGTGAGATGTCTGGCCAGAGAGAGGAAGTGAAAAGGCAGGAGAAGACATGAGCTCAATCTCTCTTTGGCTGTGAGGTTGAGTAGATAAGGTAGTTGTATTTTTACTCCTTGATCTCTCTAAGAGTGTCTCCAGCTGCCACCCAAACTCCAGAAGCACCTGGCTCCAAATGCCATAGGACTTAACCTGCCCTAAACTTTTGTGCTATGCCTTCAGACAAATCCCACCAAACATGTTTCTTGCAAATAACCCTGTGTGTGTTCTCTCTCTCTCTCTCTCTCTCTCTCTCTCTCTCTCTCTCTCCATTATCCCATGGTTTTCAGGCTTTCCCTAGACTCCCTCTCCTTGGGTTGCCAACCTAAGCTCACTGTTACATGCTAGCAGTTGCAACTATCCTCAGACAGGCTGTACACTGCCTGTGTTCTCTGTTCAGAAGTGCTGTGCCTCACAGTTCACTTACATTGTTGGCAGATTTTGTAAGACAATGGGAAATTCTTAAAGGGAGAAATTAGTTAAAAGAGAGAGGTTTTTCCCTCACTAAAATTGGAAATACAATTACAATGGAGGGATATAGGTCTCTGTTTGATAATACAGTGGGTAGTTGGAAAATGGAGCAATATAATGAGAGGATAACTAATTTAGATGGGAATTATGTTATTTCAATTATGAACAATATCAGTTTTATCATTTTGGTGGTTTTTTTGTTATGAGACATTTATTGGCACCAAGAAACTTTCATGCTAGGACAACCGTAGTTCTTTAGAACAAGTCAAGCATTTCATTCAGCCCCTAGTTTTGTGAAACCTGTTTACAAAAGAGAAAGTAAGCAATCATTTCTCTCAGAACCCAGGACAGGCACTTAATCTTCCCCACCCACCAAAGCTAGCAAGTTCCGTTCCTATTTTACAAAGAAGCATTTCATAAATAATGTCCGAGTTCACATAAAGGTTGGTTTATTTTCAATGAGCCTTTATTAAAAATAAGTAGCTCTACAAGTTATGCATAGCAAACAAAGAGCTTCTTATCAGTTCCTGAACAGGGAACACACCACGGATTGAACACTACTCAGGTAAAAAGTTCACCTACTTCTCACTGTCCACTGAGGGAGCTGTGGGCTTTGAGGTGTGGAGAGAATACAGGACAAATGGATGATGCCTGCAAGAAGTGAGGCTACCGTAGCAGGCAACACATGGTTAGGGAGGAAACAGGAATAAATTTAAAACACCTTCCTAGCATTTGTGTGCGTGCGTGCACACGCATGAACATGCATTTGAAATAACATCTCATGCTATAGCCCAGGTAATGTTGGAACTGTAGCTTACAGTAGCCTTGCACTCATGTCAATACTTTTGCTCA